GTACATCTCTATGCAACTTTAAAATATTCTGGTAAATTATAGTAATGAGAACTCTCAGCTCTGAAAATAGTCATGGACTGAGTAGATTCTCAGACAGAGGAAATGGACAATCTTGGTTTGTTTTGCCACTTACTTAATGTCATCATGATGACAGGTCTGCCCCTCAGAGTGAATGGAATTAAGTTTCTGCCTTGTTACACAGCTATCCTTCAGAAAGGCGAAGCCACACAGGAGAGATGGAGGATGCAAATCTAGAGTCTACTTTCTGGGTCTGTGAGCTAAGAACAGTCTTCCTAGATCTCTGTGGCTCTTGGGATTGCCTTTCTAAAACAGGAGTGATAACAGCAATCCTGTCCTCTGCTGGGCTCTTCTTGGCATCAAGGAAAAGGCTGAATCTAGAAGTGATTCTTGTATTGTAGATTTACAAATGTTTCAGAACTTTTTAACTAGTAGAGATCCACCGCCACTGCTTCCCTGCCATGGAGGCAGGTAGGCTGGGAGCCCAGGGGAAGACCTAAGGAAGGAAGGCACAAACATTTGTGAACTTGAGGCAGGCAGTATAAAGACTGCTTAAACCACTCCAGCTCTAAAATGACTACTGCTGTGAGGAAGGAAAACTCATAAGCATTCATTAGACCTAAAACTGGTTTTTTGTAAATATTTTGGCCCCTTGATACTGAGAAATACTGGTGAATGCTCTTTCTCTGCCTCTTGCTTTTCTCTCTCTCTCTCTCTTTCTCTCTCTCTCCCCCCTTCCTCTTTTTACTTCCTTTCATCCCTGTCCCCCCCCTTAAGTTTAAATTTATGTAGGAGATCTGTTGTTAATTTCCTTAAATTACTTTACTCTTTTCTTTTTATTTTTCTGGCACACATTTAGAAACTTAAGAATGGCCAGACTCTGAAGGAACATCCTGTTACATGGGTTCATGTAATACGAATGGCAAATGGCGAAGTGAATTTTTGTGGAACAGGCTAGAGCATGTTCCCACAGAAAAATCGCTGGTGCTGTTGCAGAAAATTCTCCTGCTTCCATCCCAAGGTCTATTCAGTACTTAACCTCAGACCAAACTTGACACCATATTCATTAAGGACACCTTGTCTACTCTATCCCCTAGAATATGTCAACATCAAAGCCACTGGGCTAGAGAAGAAGTTCCTCCTTTATTTCAGATGGATCTAAGGCCAAATGCTCCTAGTTAGGAGATACTTGGTATAGATAGAAATTTCAAACTTGATCAGCTTGAGATGTATCTGCTGAGGATTTGTAGAATCTCAAGTATCACAATTCACATTCACCACTCTTATAATTCCCAGACCCAGTCTTGAACAGAGGAGATACATGAAAGTTCACAGCCTTCTGTAAGATGATGCCAGGTGACTTCTCAGTCTCTAAGAGTCTATTCCTTCCTGACAAGAGACATTTAGACAAGGTGGTCTTTAAGGCCTCTTTTGTCCCCAGATTTTTGTCACTATGTTTCCATGTTGTGGTTGTCAAGCACAGAGCTCTGAAGGCATTTTCCACACAGTGCCAGTATGCCGTTCCTTCCATGCTCCATCATTGGGTACCCAGGTCTGTCACTGTCTTCATGTGCTTGTCCATGTATCTAAACTGCAAGCTTATTTTAGGCCTGTGCCTAACTTTTCTGTATTTCTTCTTCCTTCTTTATGGTCATTCATGTTCTACTCAAGAATAAATATGGAATAGAAGGCTAGAGCTTAGATATTGTGGAGCCCCTAAGTTACATCACTTATAAAAGTATTTTATGCTTTGATATTCATGAAACACATGAATATATGTCAAAGAAAATGTATGGTCTATAGATGAGTAAAACCACGCTAAATTTACCCATTTGGCCTCTTCTGTCACCTCTTATATATACCAAATCAGCCAGTCCAAAACCATAAAGAAACACTGACTCCCAGAATATACCACAACAATACAAGCTTCTAAAAGCGAGAGGAGAGTTTTCTGAAAATTAGGTCAACAGTTCCCCACTTGGTGCCAAAGGGAGACAAACTCCATAGCTCCCTTCCAGGATGGGGGTCGAAAAAAGATCCATCTAGTGAGGATGTATTGGAATTGAGCCCTTGAGGGAAGCTGTGATTGTCACAACTTCTCATCAAATGGGAAATGAAGAGAACAGAACACCTCTTGAACACAGAGGTGAAGGGCAGAGTCTTCTAACAGTCCAGGTCCTTGTATGACTTAAGAGAGCAGAGCTGCCTTCCAGCCTTAGATTACCTGTCCAGCTCTAGAAGTTCCTCACCAGGTCCATGTCCTGATCTGATCATCAACTGCCACATTCCCACACTAAGGCTTTACTCTACAAAATGTGCTCAGGGTACCGTCAAGTTCACTTGCGTACATCACATACTCTTTCCTTCTCAAACATTGGATTGTCATAGGCATGCTGTCAGTATTTCCTGTTATTGTTGATTTCCAGTCTAACACTTCAGTTGCAACAGTCCTACTGGAGGGTAAAGATACCAGACTGCAGAGAAAATAGAACTTTACATGAAGAATCCTTAGAAGACAAAAAGATTGCTTGCTTCTGAGGGAAAATTCAGATTTTTATTTTTAACCAGTTCCACAAAGATAATACTGAATTTCTGACAACTAAATTGAGTCACAGTAAATTTAGCTCAATGAACATGATGGAATCATTTTTAAGAGATTCACTACAATGCATCACAGCCAAACATTTGAGCAATTGTCTTATGTCAATCACTATTCTAGAAATTGTATCCTAAAATGGTACAGTTTAAGAATGCCAGGAAAAAGACTGAGTCATAGACCTGAGTGCATCAAGTTCATTACGGGGTGCTCCCTGAACCCACACCTCTGCCAGAGGGAAGAAGAAAGAATGAAAAATTAATGGAATTGAAATGACAGGCAGCCACAGTAAAAACTGTAGACCACCTGACAGACGAATGATCTGGACCCAGGATAGTTCTTCATAATCAACATGGAGAGGAAATAGCCCTAAATAGAAAAACCACTGGAGGCAGCATGCCTTGAAAGGTTAGAAGGAATGTAGAGGATGCAGCTCCATAGCAAGAGCAATTCCTGAAATGAGGACTCTCTGAGAGTTCTCAGCCCAAGGTCCTCATGACATTTGAAGGAAACGTGTGGATCATGGGGGTACAATCTGGGGGTGTGCATAAATATCAACCAGATTCATCTTCAATAAAGAGATGGCATTATATTCACCATCATACTTTTACCCAATGGCTTTAAACTAGATTTACCACTCTCAACTCTGGAAATACAGACATTAAAGCAAAAGTACCACTATTTTGATCAAACTCCATGTGTCTGTATTACTTTTTGCAAAGTGACCTACTTGAATTAAAAGACTTGTTCATTTACACAGACTTGCTGGATCCTCAGCACCTCACAGACGTGATGACATTTTTAAAGAGATATCTACCCTCTGCAGGGTCACACCACAGGATCAGATGTACTCTAATGCCACACAAGCTGTGTGAAACTCAGGGTATACTTGCTCCCCAATATAGAAAGCCAGGGCAGAGTGTGAAGATGAGAAGGTCCTGTCTTCCACCAGAATATCCAGTCTCATCCTGTGATTCATACAATAAACATGAAATGCCATTTTGAACACAGGTTTAAAGTTGAAGGAATCCAAGAAACTTTGCAACATCCTGTATTTTTGTTTTTTTTTAAATTTTATTTTATATGTATGAGTATACTACCTGCATGCATGTAAGTGCGCCCATGTCATGAAATGCCCATGGAGGTAGGAAGAGGGCATTGAATTCTCCTAGAACTGGACTTATGGGTGACTGTTAGTTGCCATATGGGTGCTGGAAATCAAACCCCGCTTCTCTGCAAGAATACTCAGTCCTCTTAACTACTAAGTCATCTCTCTTGCCTGTTTGTCTCTTTGTTTCATTGTGATAGGGTCTTCCTGTAGCCAAGTTGGCCTAGAATTATGTAGACCACGGTGGCCTTGATTTCACGAAGATCCACCTGCTTCTGCCTCCAGATGCTTGAATTAAAAATGTGTGCCACCACGTCCAGCACCTCTATAAACAATTTTAAATGAATCAAGCCAATCAGGACTACAAAGGGAAAACCTGTCTCAAAAGAATAAAAAATTTAAAAATTAAGTGAAGCTTTAGATTTGTTTGCTAATAAAAAGTCTCAGGTTTAAGTGCTTATGATGTTTGTAACATTATGTTTACTTCAGAGTTTAGGTCCCCCTGCAAAGAAACTCTACTGTGACTGGTGCCCTTTTAAACTCTATTCTCTTTCACTTCTGTGCTGAAAATAAAAACAAAGAAACAAACAACTTTTAACATGATCCCCCTTTCAGTCTGAGTGCTCTTAGCTATGCTGTGCATGTCCAGACAACCGACAGCACACCTCTCCCAGTAGCAGGTGTCTTTTTGTGCCCATGTTTGCCCTAACTATTGCTCTTTCCAGGTAAGTAAAGCAGTTCCATCTGCTTAGAAAATGAGCCTCCAGAGCTTTGAAGAAACCCTGATTGTAATGCAAAACACACACACGCACACACACACACAAAGCTACAAAAACAAAATATAAGTGTCTTTGACCGAAAGGTGTATATATTTGTGTCTTGTCACAAAACTGCACAAATTACTCTGACTTCAACAATGAAGACTTTTCAAGATGTGTTCAAAATCTTTTGTTTATGATGTTTAGAAGCTTGCTGGACTTTGTGTCTCCTGTAATTTGTAAAAAGTAACTGAAAATATTTAGACTGTGTGTAGTTGTGCACAGATGTTGATGAATGCATCAGGGTGTGCATAGTGCAGACATATAAATCTACTGCATACTTCTGGGTATGCCTAGAACAGGAGCCATAAAAGCAGGACTACCCCAAAAGGAAGCCTCCTGCTTGATCAATAAATTCAATTTACTTTGCTTTTCTTGATGCTCTATGTAAAAGCATTATTGAAATAGCAGAAAATAAGTACCTATAGAATCAAAGAAAATGCCTTCAAGAAAGGTCCCATTAAGAGGAAAGAGGCTTTAAACCCATAGCTCTTCTTAGAGCATCTTTGACCTCCGTATTCCTCAGACTGTACACCATTGGATTCAGTAAAGGAGTGATGACAGTGTAGGTCACTGAGATGAGTCTATCCTGTCCCAGGGAACTCTGGGACTTGGGCTTCAAGTATATAATTGAGGCACAGCCATAGTGGATGATGACAACTGTGAGGTGGGAGGCACAGGTGGCAAAGGCCTTCTTTCGACCTTCAGCTGAAGCAATCTTGAGGATGGTAGAGATAATCACGACATAGGATATGAAGACTAGGCCCATAGGTAAGACAAGGACACACACACTAACAACAAAGTTGATGATCTCATTAACAGTGGTGTCTGTGCAAGCCAGCTTCAACAGAGGTCTCACATCACAGAAGAAGTGAGAGATGGCAAAGCCATCACAGAAAGGCAGGCCAAACACGGATGTTACCTGCACAATGGCCATGCACAGACCAATTCCCAGTGACCCAGATGCCAAGTAGATACAGGTCTTCCTATCCATAATTACTGAATACCTTAGGGGGTTACAGATAGCCACATAACGGTCATATCCCATTGCTGTGAGCAGGAAGCAGTTGTTGATACCGAAAGTTAGATAAAAGAAGAGCTGGGCTGCACAGCCTTGGATCCTTATGAGCTGGTGAGGATTCAGGAGCCCAGAAAGCATACAGGGAATGATGGCAATGGTATAGCAGGTCTCAGAGATAGAAAGCATGCTCAGAAAGAAGTACATGGGCATCTGGAGGTGACGGTCCACACGAATAATAGTCACAATGATCACGTTGCCATACAGAGTCAGCAGGTACAACGTTAGAAAAACAGCAAAGAAGACAAGCCTGTGCTTCCGATCAAAGCTGGAGAAGCCTTCAAAGAGGAAGTCAGTCACAAAGGTAGAGTTTCGCTTTGGCATTGAGGTATATAGGCTCCAGGGAGCGGGACAAAGGGAAGAAAGGTGTGAGGAGTTGACCATGAAGCAGAGTAGGCAGGACCGAGACCTTAAGTGAAGATTGTGTCCAGCCTGCGCAAGGTTTAGACCCTAGAGTCATCAGGGCTCAGCTACTGCAGTGCTGTGTCTTCCTCTGTGCTCACCTCTTCTTTGCAGCTGTAGAAGAGTTCACCGACAGAGTAGGCAGGACCGAGACCTTAAGTGAAGATTGTGTCCAGCCTGCGCAACGTTTAGACCCTAGAGTCATCAGGGCTCAGCTACTGCGGTGCTGTGTCTTCCTCTGGACCCTTGGACTGAGAGCAGAGACAGAGAGGAGGGGTGAAGAAGAAGGAAATTAAAAGAGATTTGCAGGAACAGCATCCTGATTTCTGTTTTGTATTGCAAAGCCAGAAATTAGTTTATTAAACCATTTGATAGTTCTATTTTTAACTTTTAAGGAACTCTGTTTTCCATCATGATTTCAGCATTTTATATTCCCATCAACAATGCACAAAATTCCCAGTTTGTGCAAACCCTTCCCAACTCTTGCTGTTTTATGTTTTAAATGTAATATCCATATAACTGTCAGCAATTATTTCCTTGTGGTATGGACTTGCATTTCCCTCATGATTAGTGATGCTGAACAGCTTTTCATATACCTGAATGGGAAACAAAACCTTAAAGAGGTGCACTCATGCACATTCACATTTATTGTGGCTCAGTGCATTAAAAATAACTTACTGAAACAACTTAGATGTCCCTAGGCACATGTTTGAGTAAGTAAAACATGGTATACACATAGAATACACTGTTTATTCAGCATCAAGGGAAGAAAAATACTGCACTGGCAATATTATGATTGAACCTATATTATATTAGGCAAGTGAAATATACTAGTCACAGAAGAACAACTACTGCCTCATCTCCTTTATATGTGGGTTCTAAAATAGTCAGATGATAAAAACAGAGAGTAGTATTTACCAGAGTACAAGACCAGGGAATTGGTACTGAGGAAGCATAATTCAACATGTACTGAAAAGGAGATAGATAAAAACCTGGTCACATTCGGCAACTCAACTGCCTATCCTATGATCCAGATCTACATCTCCATTAGTCAAGAAGGTTTCTTCATTTCCTTAAACAGTATTCCTGAAGGATAGTGGATACCCACTAAAGTGCATGTATTTGATATAAAAAATATGATGAGTTTGACCATAGGTATGCACCTTTGAAATTGTCACTACTACTAAAATGGAAGCATATCTATCACCTTCAAAGATCTCCTGTGTCCCTTGGTGCTTTGCTTTCTTTGGCAGTAAGGCATTTACTATATCAAATATCAATACCTTTAGCAAATGTTTAAGTTGACAGTGAGGTATCATTGACTGTATGTGCTATGCTGTAGGGATGATGTGCAAAACTAATTCATGTTGCATAACAAATATTATGCCTAGTGGGGGCTGGAGAGATGGCTCAGTGGTTCAGAGCACTGGCTGCTCTTGCAGAGAACTCAGGCTCAATTCCCAGCACCCGCATGGTGGTATAACAACCCTCTGTAACTCCAGTTCCAGGGAATCCGATGTCTTCTTCTGACCTCCGTGGGCATTGCATGACATGGGTGTATTTACATACATTCAGGAATTATACTAATCCACATAAAACTAGTAAAAATTTAAAACATATGCCTAGTGCTAAAAGTCATCAGAGACTGGTATCATTCTATCCTGTCAGTAGCATTCAATACCAAGTTCCCTGTAAGGATCCCAGGACAAGTCCTCCTCCCCAGAACACTGGCCTGTCCCTAGATACTTTCTCCCTAAGCCCATCACCCACCACCTCCTGTCATCCTGAAAGACAGAAAAGGAAGTATGTCTGCTGCCCAGTCTTCCCAGGGAGCCTGCAACAATTATCGTCTCACATCAAGAAATGTAGTTTCCATTAGGCAGTGTGGGGATTCCTAAACTCTAGCCCCAGGAAGGAAAGGTCATGGAGTGAACCTTTCAAGGAGGGAACAGGCACCAGAAAGACATTCATCTACTCAGAGCACAACCACTATCCCATGTTTATTTCACGTCTTATTTTCCCTTCATTCCCTGCTGTCCTATGGAGAGAAAGGAGCTAGCCCATCTACTTTTTGTCTCCCCAAAACTGGAGGCCAGCATGGACAACACTATAGGAGTAGATTCAAGTTTAACACTCATCTCCATTTAGAAAGTCAGGAGTCCCCTGAACTTCTTTTCTTTCTTTTTTCATCCACCCCAAGACAATTCCTGAAGAAAGTCTTGTCTGTCCCCCTCTGCTTCTGGCTTCCCACCAACACCCCACACCTGTCATCATTCCCTCTGTCACCACTGCTGTCTCCAAACCTGTTTTCCTCGTTTTAGTTGGTCATAGACTGTATCTTCCTCCTGAAAGCTGTAATCACGTTTTTCTGAAAAAATCTACACTTTAAATATTCCTGCATAAATCCTGAAATCACTCTTTAGACTTTTAAGCATAATAATTCTAATTCATTTGTAAATTGATTATAGTAATATCACATAGAGCTGCCATAGACATTAACCAGGTTAATGTAGGTGAAGAATCTGCTCTAGCAGTTCACACAGAAAGCGCCTATGAGCCAGCATACATTTACAAAAGGACCAGAGTAGGAACAGAGGCATTCGATTCAAAATTCCCATATTTTTAAACAATTCTTGGAATATTTGCTGGTTTTATCATTTATCTACTGGCTCATAGGAATTTTTCATA